GATTCTCCCACCTAAGCCTCCCTAATAAGCACTGGGATTATAGGCATGAGCCACAGCCCGTTCTTTTCTTAACTATGAGAACTAATTATGAGAGAGGAGCAAGGTTGTTCGCCAGGGCAGATGTAGGTTTTTGTGAGGCCTGAGCTTATGCAGTTTCATGGGCCCTCTCTTAGAAAAAGAATGCAAAATTACTGATACAAAATGGGGTATGAAAAATAATTTTTTTTAATTAGGTATGAAAGAAGTTATTTTAAATAAGAAAAAAATAATAACAGTACTGTCTCAGCCACAGCAATTCTGAAAATTTGTGTTTTATTCATCCTCATCAAATAAAGAAAAAATCATATAGTTTCTTTTCAGTCATATACAATGCACCGTCTACCATATGTATTCCTACAGGAGACAGCTTCAATTTTGAATAGGCAAAAATGAGAACCTAATTCTCTGCTTACAGTTTTATATTTTTTATGATTGGAAGAATCTCCACTGACTAATTTCAGGTTTCCTGCATTCCAAACCTGGTTCCTTCTCCACTTCCCACATGTTTCTGGGGACTGATGCTATAGGCACATTTGTGTCATGATCTGCACCCACTAGCCTTGCCCACTTTGCGTCAGAATGTCTGGTGAGTTAGCACAGGGTGATATGAGTATTCCTGGCAGCATGCCAGCCCTAGAACAGCTAGCAATCATTTGACCATAGACAGAAGTGATTGCAAACCACGCAAAATTCCCAGTAAACTCAAACTAAATGTATGTGTAACTAGCTTCCTCTAAATGGTTCCCCCAAAATGCTCCCAGCCATCCAGCACTACTCCTTGGGACATAAGTGAGAGAAGAGAATTCTGAGGGGGAACAAACAGTGGTCTTAACATATTGGGGTTAAGACAGTGGTCTTAACATACTCTTTTGCACATTTTAAGGAACAATTGACTATAGGATCCCATTCCCAGGGCCCCACCCAGGGTCTTCAAGGGTTTATGCAAGCAAGTACCTGGAAACCTAAGGAAAATGATGGGCAACTGGACTTCAGATACTTCTCAAAAAGAAGATGAAGATAGGGATTGAGGGAAGGAGATGTGCAGCCTTCTATTTTCATTTGCTGTTGTTGCCAGGGGTTGAAAAAGGACAGAGTACTTGACTCCTCTTTTGGAATGACTTAACCAATCCCATCTGACAGTGTCTTTTTTTTAAAGTAGACTCTTCAAGGAATTGGGGAAGAGGCAGTGCAGTCTTGGTGACTCCATTTCACTGGCTGAATCAACCACTGGGACTGAGTGGGTGGCACAGGCCCAGCTCAGCTGCCTCGAATCCCAGCAGTCCTGGAGGAACCTGAGTACTGGAGCCAAGCTGGCTAGATTGGGTCCCCATACTTTTCTTTCAATATTCTCTTAATGGAAATCACAGAACTAGCATCCTTACTTCAGAAAAGCAGTTTTCTCCTTTGGAATAAAAAAAAAAAAAAAATCACAGACTAAGGAAACAATTATCCAATTTACAATTATAAAAGATGATCTCATTTTATATGTTAAAAGGTGGCAGATAAAATAATTTTTTGGAACAAGAAGTAACTCATATTTACAGCATTTTATTAGCAAGGTATTTTAAATATTTCATATAGTTTCTGTTGCATAAATGTCACATACCTTTAAAAATATGTTAGAGTCGGTCCTCCATAAGTTCCACATCTGTAGATTTCACCAACCACAGATTAAAAATATTTGGAAAAAAAATGTGTCTTTACTGAGTATGTATAGACTTTTTTCTCTTGTCATTATTCCCTGAACAATACAGTATAACAACTATATTTATAGCATTTAAATTGTATTAGGTATTGCAAGTAATCTAAAGATGACAAAGTATACAGGAGAATGTGCATAGGTTGTATGCAAATACTACATCATTTTATATCAGGAACTTGAGAGTCTGTGGATTTTGGTAGGCGCAACAGGTCCTAGAACAAATACCCCACAGACACCAAGGAACTACTGTATTTATTCTCAACTTGATTGCTTAACTGTAGACTGTCTTCTTCAGCTGGCAGATTCTGAGGAATGGAGGAATACAGTGTTTATATTTTTTAAGGTCATTCATTGATTTTTAAACATTTATGGGGCTGATCCTGGCAATTATTTGTAGGTCATTCTTTTTACCTCAAAGGATTTTTATGATATAAGGATATGAAGAAATTTGTGTAAGGGATGACATGCTTTACATAGACAATATATATAACTTTATAATAAACTGTAAATAAAGCAATAGGTATGGGGAGTCTTTTTTACTTATAGTCAACACTGGGTCAAGTACTTTGGGCATTCATGTGTACCCTCAGAGAGTTTACAGTTCAGATGGAAAGAAAACATAACATTTATGCAACACCAGTACACATTGTGAGACAAGGTAAAATTATGTGCCAATTTATAGGGTACAGGCTACCTACATTGTAGAAAGAAGTACAGAGGCAAAAGGAAGGAGAAACACGATTCCCCTTAAGGATCCCTGATGAAGATGGATTAGAGAATATTAAGAGAAAGAAGACTCCATTGATAGAAGCTAATAGAAGAATTTTCACAGAACTAGGGGTAGCCTCTAGATAGATTCCTTAGGATTTTTTACGTACACAATCATGTTTTCTGCAAATAGAGGCAGTTTGCTATCTTCCTTTCTAATGTATATGCCTTTTATTTTTCTTGTCATATTGCACTGGTTAAAAGTTCTTGCGCTGTGTCAAATAAGACTGGTAAGAGCTGACATCCTTGCCTTGTTCCCAATCAGGAGCAAAGTTTTAGCCTTTCATTTTTAGCCATAATGTTTGCTGAAAGTTGTTTTACATGCTGTTTATCAGTTTCAATTCTTTTTAACTTTGTTGATATTTTATGGCCTAGAATATAGTCTGTCTTGGTATACCTTCTGTGACACTTGGAAAGAGTGTGTATTCTGCTGTTGTTGATTGGATTATTCTATTAATGTTGATTAGATCCTATTGCTTGATGGTGCTACTCAGTTCTATATCTTTGCAGATTTTCTAGCTAGTCATTCTCTCAACTTTTAAGAGAGGACTGTTAAAGTTTACAAGTCAACTGTGAATTTATTTCTCATGTTATTTCTACAGGTTTTTGCTTCACATGTTTTGTAGTTGTACAAAGCATGCAGAACTTGCTGTTTGGTGCATACACATTTAGGATTGCTATGTCTTCTTGACAGATTACCCTTTATCATCATACAATGTCTCCCTCATTCTCTGGTAATTTTCTTTGCTCTGAAGTCTACTTTCCCTGAAATTAACCACTGCTGCTTTCCACTGACCAATATTTTCATGTGTATTTTCATCCCTTTGCTTTCAGTTTGCCTGTAGCATTATATTTGAAGTGTCTTATAACAGTATATAGTTCAGCCATGTTTTTAAATTCATTCTGTCAATCTCTACCTTTAAATTGGTATGTTTGGGATATTTACATTTAATATATTCATTGATATGTTGGGGGGTTAAATCTGTGTGTGTGTGTGTGTGTGTGTGTGTGTGTGTGTGTGTGTGTGTGTCTGTGTGTTTCTTTTGTTTGTTCACTGATTTTTGCATCTCCGTGCAGGGGAAGAGCAGGGGTTGGTCACCTATCTTCCCATGGGTTACCTGAACATATAGTAGAATCCCACTTTAATTTGTCTTAGTGTTTTCGAGTACATCTCTTTGTATAGCCTTTTTAATGTTTGCTGAAACTATTAGTGTGGATTTGGCCTCATTACTGATGGGTGACGTAGAAAGTCCTAACTCTCCACTAGGCCTCCTCTGACACCATCCCAGTGGGATGGGAAAGATATACTTCCTTACAGCCAGGAAGGGATGGAAGTCCAGGCTCCTCATGTGGTCACCATTGATACTGCAGTGGTGGTGGCAGTGGAGGATGGACGAGGGCTCATTACCACCCTCTGGGGATAAAAATCCCAGCTCCCAGTTTGTCTCCGACATCACCCTGGTAGGAGATGGAGCCTTTAGGGGTCCATCATGGGGTACCTCTTTACACCCTGTCAAGGGTGGAAGTCTATACTCCCTACTCTGTCTTTGGTGGTGAGGATGAGGCCATAGTTTTTTCTGTGGTGTCTGGCTGTAGTCAAGTGGTTATTGTCTGAAAGTTTTTGGTCTTGCTAGGCTTCCTCTTTCTTGGCCATTTTGGTAGAGAGGGCAGACTGTTGCTGGGGCTTTTTTGGTCTGCTTCCATTGGCATTTTCAGGTAGCTGCCTTCTTCAGCTCCTAGTCTGGGATAATGAGCCAAAAAGATAACTCGGGGAGTTTGCCATTGAATTATTATCGGTCCCTAACATCGCTAACTAGTCTGCTTTCATCTCTCCACCTTTCAGAGTCTTTCTATTTTTTTAAATATGTAATGTCTAGGACATTTCCCCCTGGGGCCAGCACTAATGTGAAGGCCTGGCTGCTTCTGGGTACAGGCATCACTTGCTGGGGACAACTTTGGATTCAAATAGACATTAGTTCCCAGGTGTGTGACCTCAGGCAAATGGCTTTACCTCTGTAAAGAGCAGTCTTTTTATCTAAGGATAGAGGGATTTCATATCTGTAAAATCAGTATTTATATTGTAAGAATTAAATAAAATAACATCTATGAAACATAGTGTTAAACATGTAGTAACCACTCAATAATTCTAGCCCTGACCACTTATTCATCATAAGACACCCTTTTGTCATTGTAAACTCTTAATAAATACCATTTTTAAAGGCTGTAAAACATCCTTTTGTATGAGTGTTCTATAATTAAACATTCCCTCCTAAGGTGAGACATCTAAGTAATCTTTAGTTTTTCAGTTTTATAAATGAGATTGCCATGTTGGTGCTTAAATATCTGTTTTCACTTTGGAACACTTCCTTAAGTGCAGCTTCTTTGAGGTAGAATTACAAAATGAAGAGAAAGAACCTTCTGGAAAGGTGGTACCAAGATTGCACTAGCAATGAGAGAGACTTTTCTGATTTTCAAACTTTATATTTTCTAGAAGCATCAGATGGCGAAGGAGGAGGAAGAGACACGGAAGTGATGCAGCAGGAGACAGTTCCAATTCCTGCATCTTCAAAGAAAACCAAACAGGTAAGGGGTCACTGCGGGAGAGCACCACTGTTACATTGTGACATCAGCCTCTTCCTCCCCTTTTGAACCTCCTGTGTCCTAATATCAGTTGTTGGTGGGATTTAAGAGAACCCTTTACCTTCTTTCCCTTTGAAAAGGCCATGGGCCATGCTTCCGTCATTGTAAACCAGCAAGGTCTGGTTTTTGCCTGAATTCTTTTTCTTCCTTTTCTTTTTTTTTTTTTTTTGACAAGATCTTGCTTTATCGCCCAGGCTGTAGTACAGTGGCGCAATCATGGCTCACTACAAACTTGACCGCCGGGGCTCCAGCGATCCTGTCACCTCAGCCTCCCGAGTAGCTGGGATACCACAGGCATGCGCCACCACAATCAGCTGATTTTTTTTTAAATTTATTTTATTTTTATTTTTATTTTTTTTAAAGATGGGGTTTCACCATGATGGCCAGGCTGGTCTTAAACTCCTGACCTCAGGTGATCCACCCACCTCGGCCTCCCAAAGTGCTGGGATTACAGGCGTGAGCCACCACGCCCGTCCTAATTTTTTTATGTTTTGTAGAGATGAGTTCTCCATGTTGCCCAGGCTGGTCTCAAACTCCTGAGCTCAAGCAATCCACCCACTCTGGCCTCCCAAAGTGTTGGGATTACAGATGTGAGCCACCGCTCCTGGTTCCTAATGTTTTTTAACTATGTAAATGCATTTCACAATGATGATGTCTTAGATTCTTGGGCCACATTTTTGTCAGAAATCCAGCCTTATGCTTTTGAGGGTACAATTCCTAAAAGGAGACAAATAGCATAAAGATATAGAAGATTACCACACACTCAAGTGCATGATTACAGCACCAGGCCATGCTGCTAGCAGGCTCCTGGAACCATATTTCTGCCCAGCATTATGGTCTGACACATGCATTCTTTTTTTTTTTTTTTTTTTCTCTTGAGACAGAGTGTCATTCTTGTTGCCCAGGCTGGAGTGCAGTGGCGCGATCTCAGCTCACTGCAACCTCCGCCTCCTGGGTTCAAGTGATTCTCCTGCCTCAGCCTCCCAAGTAGCTGAGATTAGAGGTACGCGCCACCAGGCCCTGCTAATTTTTTGTGTTTTTAATAGAGACAGGGTTTCTTCATGCTGGTCAGGCTGGTCTTGAACTCCCAACCTCAGGTGGTCTGCCCGCCTTGGCCTCCCACAATGCTAAGATTACAGGCGTGAGCCACCATGCCCAGCCTGTCATATGCATTCTTAACAGGCGATTGTGGCCTTTGCATTACCAGAAGTAGCCATTTGGGTAATCTTTTTTCCTAAACCTGTGACCTTTTATTGCCTTTTTAATCTTCCTACTTACTTTAGAAATGCCGCTCATCCATTTGTAGCTTTTTCTCATTGGGTTTCCATCAAACCTGATTGGCATTTAGGTTGCTGCAAAAGTAATTGTGGTTTTGCCATTACTTTTAATTTAAAAAATTACTTTTGCACTAACCTAATAAATCTATGTAATTTGGGTTTTTTGGTGTGCGTGTGTGCGTTTGTTTTTTTGGGTTTTTTTTTTGAGATAGGGTCTTGCTGTGTTGCCCAGGCTAGAGGACAGTGACACACAATCATTGTTGAGGCTTACTGCAGCCTCAACCTTCCAAGCTCAAGTGATCCTCCCACCTCAGTCTCCTGAGCAGCGGGGACTATAGATGTGCTTCACCACACCTGACTAATTTCTTTATTGTTTTGTAGAGATGGGGTCTCACTATGTTACCCAGCCTGGTCTCGAACTTCTGGGTTCAAGTGATCCTCTTTCCCTTGGCCTCCCAAAGTGCTGGGATTATAGGCATGAGCCACAGTGCCTGGCCTATGTGGGATTTTTAAAAGTCTGTCTACTATCAATCCAAAGTTACTATCTTTTTCATAGCAACAAACTGGGGTCTTATTCTTATTATAGATGCCTTAAACTCATTCCACCATAGTGTGATTCTACCCAAAGTTTGTGACTTAGCTCAAGATAACTGTGAGAAGCAACTTAGCATAGTGTTGCTTAACTTGCCCGCTTAGGAGGGCAAGTTAAATTTCTCTGTGACTCAGTCACCTTCTTGGTAAATGATAATCATTATGTCTTCCTCGCAGAGCTGTAGTGATGATTAAATGAGTGTGCACTTGTTAAGCACTTCAGGCAGCAGTTAGCAAAGAGTAATCACCGAAGTGTTCATTATTAAGTTACAGTTGATTATTGTATTATAATCTTGTTTATTTCGTCCATTGCTTTTTCTTCCTGGGAAGGGAAATGCAGAAAGGTATACGTGTTTGATATATAATCACCTTGTTTTTCTTCTCCAACCATTAAATATTCTGCTTAAGGCCCTATGCTGGTTTTAGTCTTAATCATTCTTCCGGAAACCTATAGGATAACACATCCTTAGGTTTTCAATTTATTTCCTCAAGGAGGGGTTTAAGTTTTCCTTAGCTTAGCCCACTCACCATGCCATAGTGTGCCCTCTTTGACTCTTGCCTCTGATCAGTGTCTACCTACAGAACTAATTTGCACATATTCTTCTTCATACTCTACTGGCTTAAGTTTTTCCTTGCTTTCCCCCTTGATTTTCTTCTGGCTTGTCCTTACTCTTTCTGGACCCATTGGTAAAAGAATAAAGACCTTTTATGGAGCAGTTAACACTGTCACTGTATAAGGTGCTCTGTAACATAATCCTCACAGCATCCCCAGGAGGTAGGTGGTACCCCTTTTACAAAGAACCAGAGGCTCAGAGAGACAGGTTCTGGGGGTCATGGCCCATCTGGTTGGCTGCGAGCCAGGCTCTGAGGACACTGTTGCTTGCACTTCCCTTTTTACCTGTCCTTTCTCCTTCAGCCCGGGAAAATTGTATTAACGGTGTTCTCATGTGTTTCTTTGGGCACATGCTATTGCTGTTTTCTGCAAAGTGAAAAAAAATTACAAAACCTTAAGATGCTACTGCCCATTTTAATCACCTTTCTCTTGCTTTCTTTCACCACCAAATTGCTTGGAAGAGTGCAAGTCCTCGATATGCAAAATGCCCTAACCCCTTTCTCCAACCCTATCCTAATTTCCCTGGCCAGGGAAATATCCTTTTTGTCTGAGTTGACATGAGAATCTGTATGTGCCCCTCTGCCTCATATGAGCATTGCCCATCTAGGTCCCTGCTCATTCCCAGGAGGCTCACCTTAAGGACAGATTTTATCTCTACGTCTCCACGGCATCTGGCGTGGAACCCTGCCCTTAATTGGCACTCATTATTTGTGAAATGAAGGAATGAATGACCATACCGGTATCTGAGTTTTCTCGTGACTCTTCTCATCTCAGCCCTTTGTCCCAGCTTGTAAGCCATGAGCTCCCTGACACAGCTGCCTGCAGAGGTCTCTCAGGGCCTTGTGATGTAGTGTCCCTCCTCCAGCCACATCCCTGATCTTCCCAACACAGTTCCCTCCTTGAAAGGCTCCTCCACCTTGACATTCAGGGCTGGGGTCCTCTCCATCCCTGCCTGCCCACACAGTCCCTCCAGCTCCCCTGTGCGCTCCTTTGTCCTCTCTCTCCCACTGCTCTTCTGCCTCTGGAACTCATCCCACCGCCCCAAGGATGACTCACTGTCAGGCATACTGTCTGTATGTCCTTCTCTAATTGTTTACATGCATAGAACTTGAGTCTCCAGCTGGTTCGTAAGTCCCTCAGGGCCAGATTTTCCTTTGTGTCCACTAAAGTACCTAACACAGCTTTGGGCTCTTATTTGCAGATATGACCACATGTATGTTTTCTAAATATAACTGCATTTTTTCTGGATCCGTTTAAAAAACTATGCTATATTTAAATTTTGATTTTCTTCAAATTTGCTTAAGACTGTCTATTCTTTCAGTTTTTCTTAATGCCTGCACAGGAGCTGCTTGGCATGATGCTGTCAGCTGTAATATACATTTAGGCTTTGATATCACCAGTCAAGATCATCTGTCAAGGAAGATGACATTCCCTCCTTTGACATAGCTGGGCCTCGCATTTGCATCGCTGAATACATGCCTCCAGTCTGTTGAGTATTCTAAGCAGTAGATTTATAACTTTAAAGTTCTTAAAACCATGCAACTACCTCATCTCTAGCAACCATTTCACATCTAAATAATCATCCTTGGCCTGCCTAATAATGTGAGTATAAAGATCTGCCAACAGTTCTTTTTCCCCCAGTAATCACTTCCAAAATAAATGATGAATTCCCTACTCCTAGAGATTGCATCACCCCTTCGGAGCCAGCGCTAGTGACTTGTAATTATGGTTCCCAGAATATAAACCCTTACGAAGGATTCTGTGACTTTTCCTTGATGCTTCCATGATGTCAATAGCACTTCAGTGGTTCCATGACCCATCTTCGCGTGCTCAGAGGCCACAGTGGACTTCTTTTTTCTTCTGCTGGCCTTTTGTTTATCTCCTTGAATCATAAAGGAATCTTCAGCAGGAGTGTGTAGCCCTTTCCCTTCTGAGTCTCCACTATTGTATATTCTTGCTGCTGCTTTATTTGAGCATTGGTCATTTCATATTTCTTCCACTCTTTATCTCCAAGATGATGCTTATCTGTTAAGAGAAAACAGGACTATGTCCTATTCATTCTCTGAATCACCTTCTTCCTTCTCATTATGGTTTCTTAATTCTGTCCCTTGTGTTAATCGATTGTTGCATTGACAAATTGCCCAAAAGTTAGCAGCTTAAAACAAAACAAGCACATTTATTATCTCAGTTTCTGTTATCTCATAGGCATAACTTAGCTCAGTGCCTCTGGCTCTGCATCTCTTATCAGGTACCAGCCAAGTTGTGGACTGGGGCTGGAGGCTCAGCTCGGGAGAGTTCACCTTGCAGCTCTCATGTGGTTGTTGGCGGGTCTCAATCTCACACTCTGTGAGCCTCTCCACTGGATTGCCTCACAGTGTTGCAGTTGTCTCTCCCCGGGCCAAGTGATCCAAGAGGGAACCAGCAAATGCACCTAAGACAGAAACCACAATCTTTTTATAGTT